TACAGATGAATTGAGTACAACATCAAGATCGGTAGTTATGCAGCTTGCATCGTAATGTTAGTAGAAAAAATTTACACCGGTAACAAACATGTTTGTGTTTAGGAAAATTGTTTTGAATATCAACTTTGCAACCTAAGAAATTTGATTTCTTGGTGTAAGTCTTCTGTGTTTGGTTCTGGTGTAATAATAACTTCCAATGGTACTTTGGTCATTTTGTAGATTGTTACAAGAATATGGCTTTTTCTTTAATGGCAAGTAGAGCTTCAATTCCTGTGGAAGGAAATATAGCTTTGATGTGTGCATCATTCCACAAAAGGATTGGAAACTATAAACGTGTAATAAAAAAAGGGATAATGACTTGAAAGGGTAACACACTTTTGACTTTGTTCACATTCGGTCACTAAACTTTTTTTCGTTATCTATTTGACTAAACTATTGAAATTGTTAACATTTTACCCTTATGACCGGTTGTTACCGATCATAAGGGTAAAATATGAACAGTTTCAACAGTTCAGTGGCAAATAGATAATGAAAAAAAGTTTACTGACTAAATGTGAACAAAATCGAAAGTTCGTTTCCTTCTAAAAAAAGTTTAATGACTAAATATGAACAAACTTCCTCTTGTATTATGTTTTAGCAAATTATTTATTTTTGTTAAATTCTCGCAACATTTGTTGATGAAGAAATCTATGAAATTAAAAAAAACCGCGAAAATATATATTTAAAAAAACTGAAAAACCGACACCGATATAAAAACCAATCGTTTGGTATTTTCCAAAATAGAAAAAACAAAATTTTCAATCTGATTTTGGTTTTACGAAAATTCAACTTTCTAATTTACATATCTAAATCTCTCCCCTTTTTTTATAATCGAAAAATGATTATAAAACCAAAAAGGGAATGAGAAAGCGCTCCATTCAGAATTTTTCTATCCAAAACTCTCCCTTAACATATAGCATAAAAATTTTGCTTCAATCCGAAAAATCCAAAAAATCTTCAATTTTTAGCTTTGTTCATGGACCGGTTTTGATAAAAATTTGGATAGAATTGTCAATTTCGAAATTCTGTCAAAGGCGGTCCGTAAACGAAGCTAAAAATTGAAGATTTTTTGGATTTTCCGTATTGAAGCAAAATGTTTATGTCATGTGTTAAAGGGGAGTTTTGGATAGAAAATTTCCGAATTGAGCACTTTTTCATTCCTTTTTTGGTTTTGTAATCATTTTTCGATTATAAAAAGGGGGAGAGATTTAGATATGAAAATTCGAAAGTTGAATTTTTCATATTATGTGGACTTGACGACTGAAGTGACCTCGAGTATTTGAAGTTTATGAAATGATTCGACTGGAGATTCGGAAGTGATTTCGGTTCATTATGGGTTTGGACTTATTAAAGATTTTTGGAGTGTGCATAAATGCTCAAATTTTGGGTAATTTTTTGGAGAATGAGAAACTCCTAATTACCTTTTGATGTTTGGTTTGTATGGTCTCACATTCTAGAACCCAATTTGAAAAGTCATAGAAGAATTGAAGATTTGATGTTCATCTCTACATGTGTCACGTTTGAGGTTCGGTTCATGATGTTGCTCGAATTTGGAAGATGTGAAGCGGGTCATCCATTGCTAACTTTGAATGGGAGAATGTTGGCCTGGGTACAAAGTTATCGATGTATGACTTTGTAAATGATTTGACTTTTGTAGATCCACTTGCATGTGGTAAAGTAGCCTTGTGACATGATATATATATATATATATATATATATATATATATATATATATATATATATATATATATAGAGAGAGAGAGAGAGAGAGAGAGAGACAGACAGACAGACAGAGAGAGAGAGAAATATAAACACCTCTATATAAGGTGGGTTCATACCACATGTAGGTGTGTGCTTGAGAGATGTAACATTGAGAGTGTTATTATGTGTTAATTATGTAGATTGAGATCTAGATCTTTTTTTGTAAGCACCTTTTATAATCGAATGCAGATCTTAAACACCCAAATCATCGTATTCTTTGTGTGTTCTTTAATTTTACATGTCAAACCAATGGTCATAATTCACATCAGTGGGAATGGTTAATTTTTTTGTAAAACCAAAATCAAATTGGAAATTTTTATTTTTTATTTGGAAAATACCAAACCATTGGTTTTTTTATTTTGGTTTCAGTTTTTCATTTTTTTAATATATTTTTCAGGGGTTTTTTTTTTTCATATATTTCTTCATCAACAAATGTTGCTAGAATTTAACAAAAATAAATAATTTGCTAAAACATAATACAAGAGGAAGTTTGTTCACATTTAGTCATTGAACTTTTTTAAAGGAAACGAACTTTTGATTTTATTCACATTTAGTCACTAAACTTTTTTTTATTATCTATTTGTCACTGAACTATTGAAACTGATCATAAAGGTAAAATGTGAACAATTTCAATAGTTCAGTGGCAAATAGATAACGAAAAAACGTTCAATGACTAAATGAAAACAAAATAAAAAATTCGATATCCGCAAAACAGGGATACTTTACTAGTCCTCCCTAATAAATAAAAAACTCTTTGCCACATGTCCTCTTCTCTTTCATTTGGACACATGTTATTTTCTAGAATTTTTGAATTTTCTGTTTTCCACTTGTCATTTTATTGTATTTTTCATTTTATTAACTTAAAATTTCATATTTAATATGTAAGGTAATATATATGTATGGTATTTATTAGAAAAAGTTTATATATAATGTATTCAACAAATTAAAGCCTCATTAATTTTAATAATTTAATTTTTTTCATTTTTCTTATAAATTTAAACTTTTCAAATTGTTAAAATTTCCTATTTTTTTTTTTTAAATAAACTCACGTAATACATAGGTGTCACACCTAGTTGGATATTAAAAGTGAAAAACATTGATATCATATTTTTATTTTTGGCACGGTGACAAAACACGACAACCATCTCACAAAAATATATGGTCTAATTCAAACTTTTACGTACGTACATAGCATTTTTTGTTTATTTTTTATTTAACGCTATGATTTTAAAAGAAAAGTAATAAGTCAACTACGTTATCACCATCTTGATGAGGGCTATTGGTTATCATAGACTCATAGTACGTTGTCATCTTAATCTTCAGTTGCCAATCTTTATTTTTAAATTTCCAACTATGACCACATTTTAAATAAGGCAAACTGAATGTAAAAAATTTAATTAATATTTATTTTGAAGTCAAACATATCTGGTTTTTAGGTGTAATATAAAAAGCCAAAGGTGTTGTAATTGATGCCAAGTTGTATGTTAAATTATAGGTTAGGGATAGGGATTACGCGACCCCGACACTATATGCGGTTTTAAAGAGTGTATTATATAAAGTCGTAAATAACTAAATATTGTAGAGGATACCGTTCCTACGATTTATATAAGGACACAAAAAACACGTTTGGCCAACTTTTTGATTTGTCGCTCTTTTAAATATGTTTGGTAATAGAATTATCGGCATTTCTTATTTTTTTACAATGTTGACTGTTTAACAGCTATTCCTCATTTTGCTGTTTTCTACCATGCTTGGGTGGATTTTTATGACGTGTCTGCCAACGTGAATAGTAACATGGCACTCTATCATCTTTTAAGTCAAATTGAACGCCACTTTCTCACATTCATTGTTATCAACACTGAAAGAAACCTAATTCAACACATTTTATGCTACATATTCTCTGTAAAAAGCAAAAGTAATCACGTCCTACGTTGATGCTTATTGTGATCTTGACTCTTGAGGCAATGCGGCCCATCTCATGAACAAATAAAAACGCAATTAAATGAATCTTGGGATGTCCTAACTTAATTTTGCTCGATGAATGATGACAGGGTTTTTTTAGTGGCTTGGTATCTAACTTCTCAACAAATGTACGGAGATAGATTTCATGAAATGCATATGATGTTGAAGAAGGATCGAATACAGCATGCAACATTAATGGAAACAAGCCACTTCACGTGTCGTGCTTTTATTTAGAGCTACTAATTTCACGATGTTGGTTCTTAATCTTTACTTCTTTTGCTAATGTTTTGTGTTGTGGTTCTCTCCTTGAAGATTATTGTAATGGCATTAAATACTTAAATTTAATAACCAAATATTAATCAAATGGAGTGTGTTGTTGAATGTTATTGTAACGCTACTTGACCGATATTGAATTGTCAAACGTATATGTAATCACTACAAATAAGATGTGCATTAAGTGGAAATGTATATGCGTAACAAAATTAAAGCCCAAAAGCAGCACATTTGAATTTTCATAAAAAAAACACATATATATTATGACTCACACCTATTGATATCTATCTAATAACCATATTTTTATGAAAATTCGAATGTGCTGCTTTTGGGTTTAATTTTGTTATGTATATACATTTCCACTTAATGCACATCGTATTTGTAGTGATTACATATACGTTTGACAATTCAATATCGGTCAAGTAGCGTTACAATAGTATTCAATAACTCACCCTATTTGATTAATATTTGGTTATTAAATTTAAATATTTAATGCCATTACAATAGTTTTCAAAACAATCAAAATAATATTAATATATACAATGCTAAAAAATGAAGATCATATAATATTTTTCTATTTTTATAATTACATACATTATAATTTTGGACCTATTTTATTTGTATACTTACATATGTTTGATTCAGAAGTACAAATTATATCAAGAAATTTTATAAAACAGCTGATATCCATGAGAATAAGATAGCTACCAAATAAAAACTTTTTGAATTTTTTATAACTAAAGTAGGTATATATTTTCATATTATTTTTATTAAGTAAAAGTTATTTCAAAACTGTTTTAAAAAGGTTAACTGTTGACTATTGTAGATGCTTTGAGAAATATATTTCTTTTGTTTTGTGGGGCCATGTAAATTGTCAACGATAGGAAGCTAGTTCAAGAAATAAATAAACAACACTACACATATATAATTATATATGTATCTTCAAAGTATAAAAATAGATAAACGAACCACCATTTCGCTCATATCAACATTCCACGTCCCCGTCGTTGTATAGAGAAAATGAAGTTGGTTTGGTCACCGGAGATGGCTTTGAAAGCGTACATAGATACCGTGAAAACCGTAAGTATTGTAAGATATATACAATTCTATATATGAATTATGAAATATACTTCATAGAGTTATTGCTCATACTTTTTTTTTTATCTTTTTGATAATTGCAGTGCAAAAAGTTTCAAGAATCAGATGATGCAGAGATGATCTCCGCCATGGCAGGCGGGTGGAACCCTAGATTGATTGTGGAAGCATGGTCGAGTGGTAGTGAAATCACGACAAGCATCGGCTTGGAAATTGCAGCACGCCACTCGGGTGCACGTTATGTTTGCATACTACAAAATGAATGTTCAAGATCAGAATATATCGCCGCCCTGAAGGAGCATGGCTCAACGGTGCCGGAATTAATGGTGGGAGAATCTATGGAAGTGATGGAGAGATTACCGGAGGTTGAATTCATGGTGGTGGACGGTGGACGGAAAGACTTGTGTGAATTGTTTGGGGTAGCTAGATTGAGCCATCGAGGTGCTGTCTTGTTATGCAGAGGTGGTGGTACAGGGCGGCGCATGGTTGGTTTCCGATGGGACTTGGTTGTTAAGAAGGCATGTTTGGTGAGATCAGTGATTATTCCGGTGGGACAAGGATTGAATATTGGTTATGTAAAGGAGAATCTTGAATATAAAAGATCATCATCTAAAAACTACAGCCGTTGGATTACAAGAATAGATCGAAAGACGGGTGAAGAACATGTGTTTCGAGGATGATTTTTTTTGTTGGCTTTTTGTGTTTTATTTTGTAAATGGTTAATTGAATAAAGTTAAAAGTGATGATATATTCAGTAATCGGTCTTTATGGAAAAGATTTTAAAAAACATTTGACAGAATTATCATGTATTACTGAATTCCTGTCAAGTGTTTTTTTTTTTTTTTTTTTGTAATCTTCTATAAGATTTGACTGAAGATTGTAACATTACTCACCCTTCAATTCTCGATATTTTCGTGAGGGATCGTAAAATTTTCCAATGATGAAATATAAGAGGGGTTTAACCGTTTAAGAGCAGTACATAGATTTAATTTGAGTTGATACTAGCAATTTTTTGTTTTAGAACTGATACATAGTTTAGTGAAAATGTTTAACTATTTATCAAGCATTTTGCTGACTTAAATATTTATTAATATGGGCAAAAATAAAGACATTATTGTAGACCAAAATGAAAGTTTCGTGTGTTAAACAATATTACGTTATTACTAATATCAATAACATTTTTTAGATCCTTTTGTCTTGCTAAGTTGCTATTGTAAAGTTATTTTCCTACATTAAGGGGACTTCAATCACTTACTGGAATAATGATCTTTTATAGTTTGCTTTTTGACTTTTGATATTATTTTAGTCTACTGCCTAATTATGGTAAAGATGACAAAATACTTAGTACTCTTTTTTGACTAATTAATCTAATTTAGTTAATATACAAAATAAATTTAAATATTGTTTATATACGAATATATATTTAGAGCTGACAATAAGTTGATTTAGGTTGGGTTTGGGTTCAATCTATTTATGGGATTGAATATTTCAAACAACATGTTTATTTAAATGAGTTGATATTTTCAGTTCAACCAATCTTTCAAATAAATGGTTGCATCTGATTGACCTGTAGTTTCTAATCCAACCTATTCAATAAATGGTGTAAACATTGGTTAACCCATTTAAAATAAAAAAAATTATAAATCATTAACTAAAAATTACACCATTTAAATTAGTTTAAAACTTAAATAAAATTTCAAAGTATAACAAAGACACAATACCAATTTACAAAAAATATTTCATTTCGAAATAATATTGATCAACATGAAAAAAAATAGGAATTTTATTGCATCTTTTTTAAAACAAATAATAATACAACATTATAATTTTTAATTTAATACATACATTAATACATTATAATATTTAAAAAGTTATTAAATTAATATATATTAAAGTTAAATGGGTTGGTGGGTTGAAAATGGATTGATAATTTTTACTCAGTTCAACCTATTTCATTAATGGGTTAGATAGTCTGACCCGTTTAACATAAAAAAAATTGAAAATCTCAACCCAACCTACTAATTTTGAATTAAGTTTGGTGGATGAGATCGATTATTTCCAGCTCTATGTTTACTACTTTTATAACAACCAATGTTTTCTAATTAATATAGTCACACTCACACCGAGAGCTGCTTCTATACGTTCGTAATTGATATTATAAGGATATATTTCAAGTCAAAGAGGTTTTGTATGCCAAGTTGTGCGTCGAATTAGGTACATGATGCATGTATATACGCGTCATTGCTATAGATCTAATACATATTATTAATTTCTGTTAAAAATAAACATACTATTCGATTTACTGCAACACAATTAAATTTGTATTTGTTAACATATATACATCTCTTGATTAGATTTAAATTAAGATAACTTATAGTTCACGATCAAACATATCCATATTTTAAAGCTTACTGGTTTATTTATCTAACTACAATTTATATGCAGTTTTACTAGTTTATGCAATTAAATTAGTATTTTTACCAATTTGTGGATACATAATTAGTTCATAAATTTCTGGAAACAACTTAAAAACACAAACATAAATAAGTAAGAACTTCACTTTGTTGCATACTCAAATTAATATAAACAAGTCATGGACCCTTTTTATACTGGTAAACTAAATGGTAAATAGCTAAATATGAAAAAAGATAATACAAAAGAAAATTATTGTATAGTCAAATGAAAAAGTCAAATTTTGATAGTTATCAACGTAATTTAAATTTTTTGTCTTTTATTACAAGTGGATGCAATCTATGACCAAATTCTGTTATGTTTGTTAACAACTATGTCACACGAGAGTTGACATGTATACTTTAAAACCAAGTTGTTTAATTATTTAGTCATTAAGGCTTAAGATTATCAAAAACGTAATTGTGATATTATTTCTGTCATTTTCACTCAGCTTTAATATAAACTAGAAAAAAGGTTATTGAGTTGAACGGGTTATTCTTTTTAAAAAAAAAAAATAATAAAGGATAAAAGAATATGATAGGTGAAAATGATAAAGAATAAAGGAAAAATAGTTGAATTTAGCAACTTTTTAGAAAACATGTGACGAAAGTCTGAATGTTAAAATGTTCGGGTTGATAATGGAAGATGTAAAAAGTATCAAAATAGAAGAATGTTGAAAAATAAGATGCTAAACAGTAAATGTATTAAATAACGGAGCACTTTTGGGAAATTGTAAAAAACATATGAGAAAAAAGTCACAAGTTAATCGTTTTAGAAATAAATAAATAAATGATAGGAGAATATGGTTGACAAAAATGACTAATAATTAAAAAAGAAATTGAATTTAACAATTTTTTCTAAAACATGCGGCAAATACTAATTAAAAAAAAGTTGAATTTAACAATTTTTTGTAAAACATGCGGCAAAGTCTGACCGTTAAAAATTTCTAAGCACATTTGGGAAAATATAAAAAGCATGAGAGAAAAGTCACAAATATTAATGTAAAGAATCATCAAACTGTAACATCCAAAATTTCAAACAAATTTAAACTTTTAAAAACAGGTCAAGTTCATCAAAATATTACAAATTTCGTTTTCAAACATTGATTATCAGAGTCTTTTCCCAGAAACATAACATAGTAGGAGGAGTTGTACGATCACGCCTTGGCCTTGTCGCGATCCCCTGAGGTACCTGAAACCATAAACTGAAATTGTAAGCCCGAAAGCTTAGTGAGTCACCCCAAAAAACCAATACACATACAGTCCACATAGAAATATCAACATTAGCATATCATATCAATCAAAACATAACAGCATGCACTGGGTCCACAGCTTTACAAGCTGGACTACCCTTGGGCCCTCAGTACGAGTCTGGAATGCCTACCCTCAACTCGTATCTGGAATGCTCTCGAGTCCTCAGTATAAGTCTGGAATGCCTACCGGGCCTTCAGCTCATATCTGGAATACTCTCGGGTTTGTTGGCTACCGCACGGAGGAGTACAACCTCAACCCACCCTACACAACATGTCGACATGTAACAGATAAATGCACATACATGCAATCAATCAGTATCACAGGCAGTACTACAGATCTACCCGACTAGCATATCAACTAGCATACATTACTAACTCAACTCAACATATCAATAACTACTAGGATATCAAATCCATTGGGTCGGCCTTGGTGCCTTAGACCCCTTAGTATAGTGAGGATAACTCACCTCGAAACGTCGACTCACAGAAATTAGTTCCAACCTTCGGAGTTGCATACATAAGTTTTTGATCCTTCTAGAACTGTCCTCAAAAGTCAACAGATCAACTTGGGTCGATGGTCAAAGTCATCAGTCAAGGTCAACAGTCCATGTTGACCTGACTCGCTGAGCTCCCTCGGCTACTCGCCGACTTTCCTTGGCTTCCGGTGCACTCGCCAAGTCATCGAGTAACTCGTCCAGTTTCCCTCGTTTTTCGACTGAACTCTAAAGCCACTCTTCAGGATTCCTAAGCGAAACTCGACGGGTGCATATGCGTACATAACCTTGGTGAAATTCATCTGACTCGCCGAGTTGTTCATCAACTCGCCGAGTTTCACGACGATCTTCATCGAACTCGCTGAGTTGTTCATCCGACTCGTCGGGTTCACGGATTTCTTCATCAGACACGCCGAGTTGTTCATCCAACTCGTCGAGTTCACGACTTTCTTCATCAGACTCGCCGAGTCATCCTTATGACTCGCCGAGTCCGTTCGGTCTTTTCCATAAAAACTTATTCTGATCCATGCAGTGGCTCCAATTCATAGATCTAGGCTTCTATGGCATACTTATCACGTAAAGTCACAAACTTTACGTACATGCATTGCATTTATGGCTCTAAATGCCAAGTCTAAGCTCTTAATGGGGCTCCATGCCCAAGAGGGACCTCATACATGATCAATTCTGAGACTTTATGTTTCTAGAGCTTAGAGAGGGTTCAGATCTGAAGTTACAACTTTAGATCCAACTCATTGTTCAACTTATCAACCCTTAAGGTTTATAGAAAACCCTAGAACTTCATAAAAAGGAAAACTCACAGAAGAGATGGTAATTTAGGATACCTCTGGAAGATGACAACTGAAAATAGTGCTGATTTCCCCACCTTACTTGCTCTAACCTCGTCTTCCTTCAAGCCTTCTCCTTCAAAATCTTCAAATCAAGCCTCACACACTCAACAAAGTACACACACTCGAATCAGGGGCTCTCTAAGACTGTAAAGAGACCCAAGGGAGGCTAAGGCTCCTTTAAATAGGGACACAAACCCCGGGAATTAAGGTTTCACTTGCCAGCTCCTACTCGCCGAGTCAGTCACTTAAGTTGCGATCCAATCCCGTTGCTACTCGACGAGTAGGGCAACCGACTTGTCGAGTAGGGCCAAAACCAAGAAACTATAATTTGAACAATACCTGAGAATCGGGACGTTACACAAACTTTAGTGTCAAGAATGTAAAGAAGTAAAAATGAAAGTTTTGTAGAAAAAATATAAATAAATAAAAATAAATTGGATAAAGTATAAATTGAAAAAGGTTCATGCCAAAAATATAAAGAAATAAAAGTAAAATGTGAAAAGTATGAATTGAAATATATATATATATATATATATATATATATATATATATATATATATATATATATAATCAAATAAAAATAAAAAAATATTAAGAATCTTTGAGAACCATCTACTTATATTACCCAATTTCCATTAGCGCTCTTCCTTTTCCAAATCTCATATAGTCGTTCACTTTGTTTCTTCTTCGTCATTCCAGAAAATCATCAGCCCTCTAATTCCGCTGTTGGC